GGGAATATGAAGAGACATTATAACTACATTACTGTTGGGGTTCGATACAGTGCGACTCGGGCAACTGCTCAATGTCGAGTCAGTTGTGTCTCCTTGCTGTCGCGCTGCGTCAGGTCAAAGGTCGCTGACCTTTGACTTTCTCGTAACCTCCAGCGGTTACGTTAACCTCCGAGGGTTGACTCGCGGTGCTTCGATTTGAGCTGCTTCGCTTGTGTCTTGAGTTCTGACACGACAGAGGCGCTTAAACTATTTGTTCCCAACACTCCCCTTCGCTTCTGGAGTGTCGCTGATGGTGACGTGGCTTTGTCCAGTCAGCAGCATGCAGTACTCGAACTTCTGTTTTCCGAGCTTCTTGGTCAAGTAGTCAGCTGCCATCTCGGACGTGGGACAGTAGGATAGTTTGAGTTTTCCTTTCTTGATCTCGTCCTTCACGAAGAAGTATCGCAGGGTGATATGCTTCGTTCTGTTCGCGAATCCGCTCTTGTTGGCGATGCGAATTGCAGATTGGTTGTCGTAGAACAAAGTGAAGTTGGGTAACTCGGCTAACTTCGCTTCTTCCAGCAGCTCGCGAAGGTAGAGTCCTTCCTTGGTGGCTGAGCAGAGGGCGATATATTCTGCTTCAGCTGAAGAGAGAGCAATTAGTTCCTACTTGCTCGATTGCCAGGAGATAGGTCCGATAGGTTCGAGGCGGTAGATGTAGCCAGTGCGGGAGCGCCTGTTATCTGAGTCGCTGGCGTGATCAGCATCGACGTAGCCAATTAGTTTCGTCGGCGTAGTTGTGTTTTTGTAGTACGTCAGGCCGATCGTTGCGGTGCTCACGAAATAGTGAAGAGCGCGGTCGAGATCGGCCAGGTGTTCTGTTTCGGGCCTCTTGAGATAGGTAGCAAGTTCACATGCGGAGTAGGACAGATCTGGGCGGCAGGTGACGGCTGCGAAGAGGAGGCAGCCCAGTTTTCGCTGGTGGTCGCGTATTCCGGCGCTTTTGAGTAAGGCGGAGCTTCCCTTGCCGTTCCCTGCCGTGTAGTGGTATGGCGTGGAGATAGTAGCAGGTGTGAGCGTGAAGCGTTTGGCGATGGTGTCGGCATACTTTTCGGCGCTGAGGTAGATCGCGTTTTCTTCTTCGCGGATGTTGAGTCCGAGATACTGAGTGATGGTAGTGGAGACCGTGAGTGTGAGGTCCCTCTTCAGCTCCCCTTCGAACCAGGTAGTTATGTCGTCGGTAGAACCGATGTAGAGTAAATCGTCGACGTAGACAATAAGCAGAATGTAGTTGGCGTCTTTGGTGAGTCGGTACATGCCTTGGTCGTGAGGCAGTTGACGGAATCCGATGCGGGTGAGGCGGGTGTGTAGGTGCTGTTGCCACAGCCGTGGGGCCTGTTTGATTCCGTAGAGCGATTTCAGTAGCTGGCAAACCTGATTAGGTTCCCCGTGGGTACCATGTGGGAGCTCGACGAAGATTTCGGCGTCGACGGGTGCGTAGAGGAAGGCGTTAGCGACGTCGATTTGCCGTAGTTTTCTTTTCTTCATGGCGGCGATCGCGAGGAGGATTTGGAGTGAAGTGTGTCGGCTAACCGGGGCAAATGTCTCGGTGAAGTCCCGTCCGTGTTCTTGATCGAATCCACGCACGACCCAGCGTGCTTTGAACTTCTCGATTGTGCCGTCTGCCTTCGTTTTGATGCGAAAGACCCATTTTCCGGTGAGGATGGTCTTGTTTCTTGCCACGCTAGCTGGAACGACTTTCCAGGTGTTCCGTTCCTCCAAAGCCTTTAATTCTCTGTCCACGGCTTCACGCCATTTCTCCCTGTGTTCCCCCCCCAGAGCCTGCTGAACCGTCGCAGGCTCTTTAGGAAGAGGATGGCCGTGGACTGCGGTGACGAGACCGAGAATCTGCAGTCCAGTTTGTGAGTAGCGGGGGAGTGTTGCGTGTCAAAGTTTGAAGGAAGAAAGAGGATTGAACTAGCAAGAATGAGGATACAAATAGCAAACCCTAGAAGGGTTGTACTCGCTATAGAGCACCCCACTACAGGCTAGAACAATAAGATAATATTCTGACATTGCGTCCTCGGGATAAGCTGCTTCATCTCCCGCTTGTGGGTCGGGTATGAAATTCGGTCCTACTCTTTCTGCTTTGTTGGTGTTGACTGTCGCAGGTGTTACGTAACCATTGTCAGCGAAGTGATAGAAGACTTCGGCGTTGGCGCTTTCGCGAGGATTTTCTTCGTCCATGGGGACGTTGACGGAGCAGAATGGGAGAGGTCCGGCTTCTTCTGATGCGTTGTCGACGTTCTGCTCGTCCCAGTCTGCTTCGTCCGCTGCTGAGGCGAAGGCTCGGTCACCACGAAAGCCACCTGTGGGGTCCTGATTTTCGTGCAAGTTGGCGAGGTACGTCTGAAGCGTGAGTCGTTCGTAGAAGATCACATCACGTGCTGCTACTGTTTCCTTGGAGTGGACGTCGAAGATTTTCCACGCGTTGTAATTCCTTTCGATGCCGAGGTGTAGTCCCCACTGTGCACGTTGTGAAAATCTTCCCGCTCATGCCTCTGGGGGTCGGTACTGTACCATGCACCCGAAAACTCGTAACATTTTTGTACTGCCCTGTTTCCCTGTCCACAGCAGATGCGGTGATGCGTTGTTCGGGAGTGGGGACGACGACATCAAGTTGTGCAGCATGACAGCATGGTCCATTGCTGCAGGCCACTGGTGGTTGGGTAGCCGCATGCCACGTAACAGTTTGCGCATGCTGTTCTGCAGAGTCCTGTTCGTTTGTTCTGCGACACCTTGCTGCTGATGGGCGTAGGGAAGGGAGAGGAGTTGCTTGATTCCTCTTTCCGCCAGGTACTGCTTGAATCGCTGAGAGGTGTATTCTCCTCCTCCGTCTGATTGGAAGCTTTTCAGCTGTGCTCGCGACTCTCTTTCTGCTACTGGTAGCCAGGCGGCGAACGCTGCGAGTGCCATGTCGCGGCTGGGTAGATTGAGATGCCAGACGTATCGAGTGGCGGCATCGATGAAGGTAATCGTGTAGTGGTAGGTAACTTGTCCTGGTTCTTGTTTGAAGAGAATATCGCTGTACACCTTCTCGAGTGGTGCGTACGCGGGTGCGCTCGGGTTGTGATGAGGAGTGAACGGTCGATGTGGTAAGTCGGCTTCGGGGCAGGTAAGACAAGTCCCTCGTGCCCGTTGAAGTTCTCTGCCGTCGGGTAGTAATAATGAGTCCTTGTCTAGGACTCCCGCTCTTATCGTGTTATTTAACACTGTGTTGCTTCGATGTCCCGTTCGTGCGTGCCAGATTTCTTCGGAGGCGCGATGTCCAGGAGAGTATCGATACGCGTCGGAGTTGGAGTAGAAGTTGGCGATGAAGTTTGCGCTTCTCTGGACTTCTCGTTGAGTTGGGTTCAGCTGCTGTGCGGGTGTTGGTGGTGCTTCGTCAACGAGGACTGGTGTCGCTGCTGCTGACGATGGTTCTGCTGCTGCCGGTGTTGTTTCTGCTGCTGCCGATGTTGTCTCTGCTGCTACCGATGTTGTCTCTGCTGCTGCCGATGTTGTCTCTGCTGCTACCGATGTTGTCTCTGCTGCTGTTGAATGTTGAATTGTTGCAAACGCGCGTATTCGTTCTGCTTCAGGGATGGTGTGCGAGTACCAGAAGCCTTCCGGGCTGAAGTCTAGATCAAGATCTGGAGGGTGCGTCCAGTCGGCGAAGTTCACGATGGCATCGCTGTCTGCGGTGCCCAGGTCTGGAACGAAGTCTAGGACGAAGACGTTGTTCTTCAAGACTGCCTTCCCGATGTAGAGGCCGCCTTTCCCGTGGTATAACTTGAATTCCTGGGTGGTACTGTCGGCTTCCAAGTGAATACCTTTCGCCATCAACTGGCTGACGCTCAGTAAGTTGTAGCCGAGTCCCTCCACGATTAGTACTTTTGACATATGCAGTATAACATTTGTCTCTCGTGACTGAAGTTGTACTACTCCTTGTCGTTGTGTGCGCAGGTTCTGGTTGTTGGTGAATGTGATGACGACCTCTCGTTGAAGTCGATGTTCGCGTTGGACGAAGCGTCTCGAAGAGCACATGTGCTGTCCGCAGCAAATGTCCAAGAACCATGTGTCTTTCCCGGACGGTTCGCTTTGAGCAATGGCGGCGTACGTCGGGTTCGGTTGAAGGGACTCGCGGCGAGGCGTGCTGTTGTCGAGTTGCTCTTCTAGTGACTAGTATGGTGGTGACTCGGTTGTGCAGGAATTTGTTATCTTTACCATGCAGTTGACGATGTTTCTTGCTTTTTGTGCAGGTTGTCCTGTTGGAGTCGTTGAAGCTTGGACAGAAGGTGTCGGGGTAGCTTGTGTTGAAGTGACTTGGCTGCTCGAAGGTCAAAGTTGTCGCTGTAGTGTTGTCGATTGATGACGATACGGGCAGTGCGTACGAGGATGCCCTGAAGTCTTGCAGATGTGGCAAAACGGAGATACTAGCTTCGGTTGTTGTTGCTGTCGACTGTTGTTGTTGTTGTAGCGTCGCTGGGTATGAAACGCGAACTCTGGTACTGACGTTTTCTTCTTATGTCGTTCTTCTTGCAGGTCCATGTCCTGCTGCTCGGCATGAAGTTCGACGCAGAGTGCTACTTCGGAGATTCTCCCGTGTGCTCGTAGTATGGCGCGAGTGGAGCGCCAGTGAGGGCCAAGACCGCCGATGACAATCGTGACAAAGGCGTCTTCTGAGATCGATCCTCCACATCGAAGAAGCCTATCGCGCAGCTCGCGGCAGCGTCTGATATACGCCATGCCCTTCTCGCCTGGTTTCATTTCGATTGTTGTCAGCTGCGCCATTAACCGGCTTTGGTTTACACTGTCTGTTGCTTGATACAGGTTCTTCAAGTGGTTGTACGCGAGCTCCGCGGAGTTACCGTAACCTCGGTAAGTCCTTATGTTCTGCTGCTGGGTCGGGGTGATGTTCCTCAGTAGTATTGTGTATGCCATCATCGATTGATAGGTGTACTGCTGCTTCTCATACTTTTTGCCGTTTGTTGGATATGGCAGGGACCCGTCGAAGAAGCCAAGGATCTGCGCTCCTTCCATCATCAGCTCGAATTCGAACGACCAGGTAAAGAAGTCCTTTCCGTCAAAAGGCTTTGTCGTTTGTAGTTTTAGAACATGCGCGAATTGCGACTGAACTTGGAATGCGTCCAGCGCTCTCTCTTGTCCTGGTGCAGGTTGTGGTTGCGGCATGAAGCTGACGGAGCCGCGCTGGGGCTCGTACGGAGCGAAGGTAGGTTGTTGATGTTGATTCCCGCGTGCGTAGGATGAGCCATCGAGACTCATGGGCGTCACGTTGTTGTTGTTGTTGCTGTTGTTTGATTGTGCAGGTACTCCTTGCTGGTGCTGCTCGTAGAAGGACATGAAGGAGAAGAATTTCTCCATCATGCTTGGATCGAAGCCCGCGCCTTGGTTTGCGGGTGTTTCCGTAGACCCAGCTGCTGGTCTCGTCGTTGTCCCTTCCTCTGTCTGTAGGCCAGAGGCAGGAGGTGGAGTAGGGGTAGTCCCGGGAGAGCCGTTGGAGGAGCTCCTCTCCTTTCTAGCAGACATGTCTTCTTGATGTATTGAGTGTTGAAAAGTAGTAACTTTTAACTCTAACTGCTCTCATACCATGTTGGGCAGAAACGCCCTAGGATCTTTGTAGAGTTAAAGTCTGAGTAAGTGATGTAATAGCGGAAGCGTTTGAATTAAGCCCTTGAACCACCTTGCGCTAGTATGTGAGGGCAAAGTAAGTTGATTAAAGCAAAGAGATACAGGAATATAAATATATGAGTACAGGGAATATGAAGAGACATTATAACTACTTTACTGTTGCGGTTCGATACAGTGCGACTCGGGCAACTGCTCAATGTCGAGTCAGTTGTGTGTCCTTGCTGTCGCGCTGCGTCAGGTCAAAGGTCGCTGACCTTTGACTTTCTCGTAACCTCCAGCGGTTACGTTAACCTCCGAGGGTTGACTCGCGGTGCTTCGATTTGAGCTGCTTCGCTTGTGTCTTGAGTTCTGACACGACAGAGGCGCTTAAACTATTTGTTCCCAACACCTGCGTCGCCACTTGCGCCACTGGCGCCACTAGCGCCACATGTGTCGAGGGGTGCTGCTGGTTGGAGTTTTTGTTGACCTCGCCACTGCGCAGCAACAAATCGACGCTAGTGGGCGCGACATCTTCGTCTTCAGCCCGTCGCATGTTGCGGGGATCGCTCGAAATTTCACGGGCGTTCTTCTCGTTGTCAGATGACACAGCGTCTGACGTGACAGATGACGCACCACTTGGTGCTGCAGGGAAGAGCAGGGAGTGCCCCTCGTTTTGAAACGCGACTTCTCCTGTCGGACCAAACATCGCCACGCCCTGTGTTTTGGAATGGGTGGTGGTGGGAATGAGGTGGTGGTGGAAGTTAGATGTTGGTGGGGCGGACGCCGGACAGCGGACTCGAATGGAGATTACGCATAACAGCCAGATAGCCAGACGGCACGGACAGACACACTCAAGTTACTCTAGAAAAAGTCTCAGATGTGGCCATCCATTCTGAAGCATGGCCTCTCCTCACGGACCAAACAGAGTCACGACCTTTGAGTGGGAAACAAGGGGGTAGTGGGAATGGGTGGGTGGGGCAGCAGATGATCAGCAGGACAGCTGGCATTGCAATGAATGCAGGGGGGGGTTGTAGGTAGTGGTAGGGTCAAGTGTGTTTTGAGTCGACTCAAAACACACCAAGCAGTGCGCGATTAGTGCAGATGCCTGGGCGGGGCGGGGCAGCAGGCGGGCGGCAGGACAGTTGGCATTGAGATTGACGCGGGGAGGTTGTGGAGGAAGTGGGGATGGGATGGCAGTAAGTAAGTTCAAGCAGCAGGAAAGAAGCAAGTATGGGGACGTGAGCAGGATTGACAAGGGAGAACAAGAATCAGTTATTACAACGCAGACAGAGATAATAACGACAAAGAGAAGTGGCACGAGCCACACACAGACAGAGACACGACGCAAAAACGGAATACGAGCACAGAAAAGTGAAACTCTCAAGACAGAAAAGCAGGCGAAACATGACTACTTGTGAATCTGGCATGTATGATCCAGTCCGGGCTGCCCAATGAACTCTCAATCCCGACTAATACTATTCAGAGCACCCCAATATCCTCTCAATCTCAATAATACGAATGCAGGACACCCCACCTCGAGCACGTATATGAGGACGGACTGAGTGCGGTCCAATGGGATGTTGACAGCTGTCCCTGGCCGCATGTACACGTGCAGCATGAGCTGGGGGATGGTGGGGGTGGGGGGGGAAGGGAAGGTGGGGAGGGGGAGGGGGAGGGGAGGGGTTAAGGCAGGGAGGAGGATTGGAGGGATTAGTAGGGAGTAAGGGGGACCAATGGGATGTTGCCAGCTGTCCCTGGCAGCATGTGCACGAGCAGCATCAACTGGAGGGGGGGGGGGGAGGGAAGGGGGAAGGGAGGGAGTAAGGCAGGGAGGAACACTGGGTGGAACGGGAGGGAGTAAGCGGAGAGGGTAGAAACGGGTGGGGAAAGGGAAGGAGAAACAGGGCGAAGGAGATAAGGGGACTGAGCTAGTGAAAGGAGAACGGTTAGGAGTTGAGGGGTTTAGAAAGGGGTTGAGGAAGGTTGGGATGGCGGGGAGGGGACGTTCGATTGAAGGGCAAGAGTTCGGTGAGCAAGAGAGTGCAGATGACACGAAGGAAAAGAGGGAGAGAGAGTGCAAATGACACGAAGGAAAAGAGGGAGAAAGAGCGCAAATGACACGAAGGAAAAGAGGGAGAGAGGGTGCAAATGACACGAAGGAAAAGAGGGAGAGGGAGTGCAAATGACACGAAGGAAAAGAGGGAGAGAGAGTGCAAATGACAGGAAGGAAAAGAGGGAGAGAGAGTGCAGATGACAGGAAGGAAAAGAAGGAGAGAAAGTGTCAGAGAGAGGAAGTTGTAAGCGAGGGGCGGAGTGATGTGTGGGAGTGAGGGACGATAGTGACAGTGGGGATTGAAGAAATAAGGACTCGCGGAATGACATAAGGACTCCGCGAGTGGCAATGAGAAGGACACAATAAAGTGAAACGGAGAAACAAAGTGTGAGAGGAGTGAGAAAGCGAGAGCAAGACTGACAAAGTGTGTGAGGGGCGGAGGAGTGCAAACGTCCCTGAACCGCCCAGCCACCACCCGAACCTGCGCTGCCCCCGACCCTTGCGCCTCCCTCTCTGCCCCCGCGTTCCCCCCTTCCTCCCCTCCGCCTCCCCCCTCCCCCCTTTCCCCCGGACCAGGGGGAGCAGGGGTGGCGGGGAGGAGCACGCAGGGCCCAAGAGCGGCGGAGCGGAGGTGCGAGAGGACGAGATGGGGGGGAGGGGGAGGGAGAGGGGCGGAAGAGGCGGAAGTGGGGGGCGAGGGGGAAGAGGGGGCGGAAGAGGAGGCGGGAAGTGACATTTCACCATTCCCCCCACGATTTTAATGTCTGAGGCCCAGAAAAATTCGATTCCGCGCCCCTGCGCTTGCCCTCCCCCTCCCGCGTTCCACTCCCCTTCTCTCCCCCAATCGATCTCCCCCCAATCTTCCGCCTCTTCCCCCCACTCCTCCTCGTCCTCCGCCTTTCCCGCTTCCGCCAGCATGAACACTAGGGACTCAAGCGCGCGTCCGGGGGGAGCGGGGGGGAGCGCGAGCGAGGGGAGGGAGAAAAACTCATCAACCGCAATAATGGGGGAAAGGGGGGAGGTTGCGCTGATTGCTTTCCCGCTTTCCGCCTCTCCGCCTTTTCCGCTCCCGCCTCCCCCACTCCCCCCGCCTCTGCTTCTCCGCGGGCCAAATGCGCGCGCGGTCTCCCCTTCGGCGGAAACTTTACTCGCGGTGATTGTTTCCGTTGCGCGTCTGCTCACTCCCCCGCTTCTCCGCGCAGTCCGCGCAGTCTCCGCTGCTGCAACCGCCCCCCCTCCCCCTTCCCCCTCCGCCGCACAGCTGGTGCGCAACCTCTGGCGCGGAGGTTCGACATGTCGCAAGCTCTGATGCAGAGTATTTCGGAATTTCCGCGCGCCGTTCTCACATTTCCCCGTCCCTCGTAGACGCACTCGCTGTGCCTTCAAGGCGTCTAGGTTCAATGCATTTAAATGTACTCGAATTCCTAGAGTACGAGCACCATCAGCGCCACACCTCACCGCGCCGCAACCGAAACGATTTGACCGTTGTCTTTAGCGGCAAGAGCTGCAGTCGAACCGCGGGAATTGCCGAGCCTGCAATGCTGACGAGGCACCCGAGGCTAAGGGCGACACGATGCTGATAATAGTCCTCGGAGGGCCGAGAAGACGAGCGGAAGCCATAGAGCCGAGGTAGTATTGAATTCGTTGAGAATTCAAGAATTCATTCGTAGCAAACTAGGCTTGCGGGTGGTAGTGGGAAAAATGACGATTTTATACTCTCTACTGTAGCACCCCCTACATCGTCAGAGCCATGCACTTCTGTTTCATATATTTACAATAGAGTGAGTTGACTAGAGATGCAACTAGAAAGGGATGGTTGTGGTGGTGGAACTACTGAAGGAAAAATAGCTACTGTTGAAGAGAAAATAAAGTGGCAAACATCTATGGCTGAAATTAAATAGTGGTAGGTGGTACAATAGATTCAAAGAGCCAAGAAATAGTGCAATAATGCTGAGCATTGCCGTACGGTACATGGGAAGGCGGACGGCAAGAAGCAAACAGTTTTCCCGATTGGTTTTGGAACACAGAGTTTTTATGGGGAAACCACTCCCTCATATAGCCCGAATCACTCAGCACACCACTTATGATACAACAAGGTCCACCTCCGGCATCGCCCTTAACCATTCTGGAACGCCTTTCACACCCTTGCATCCCCGAATCTCCACTTGCCAAAGCCTGGGCAGCTGGCTCATTGTCTCGGGCAGCTCAGAAAGTTTTGGCAGCTTTTCCAACTCTAACCATTCCAGAGATAAAAGTAACCCAAAATCTGCTGGTAACCAATCGAGTTTCCCACAGTCTGCTATGCTGAGCTGGGCCAATCGGGGAAGGTGGGGGAATGAGTCAGGCAGGCAGCGCAGCAGGCAGCAGTCGTGCAGGGAAAATTGCTCTAGGTGGGGCAGCTGCCCAAAAGAATCAGGCAGGGCAGCAAGACCAGGCAGGCTAGAAAATCTCAACGTCCGGAGGCTGGACAAGAGGCCAAAGGTGGGAGGGAGGGACGTGAGGTGATCACAGGAAGAGAGAGTGAGGGTGGTGAGGGAGGAGGCTAAGGGAAGGGAGGGTGGTAGTGTGGCAAGGCTGATGAGTTGAGAGAGATGGAGCGAGGTGAGACGGGGTAGCAGGCTGATGGTTGACGGCAGGTGAGTCAGTGATTCACAGTCTGCGATTGAGATTGCTTCTAATGAGTACATAGCAGCCATGCCATGACACCGCTTCATATCCTCCACATTTCCCACATTTTCCACCTCCTCTACCTCCCCCTTTCCTTTCCCCTCCTTTCCCTCCTGCGCACTCTCCCTCTCTCCTTCTCCACCCCACTCCCTCTCACCCTCGGCCTCTCCACCCCCCTCCCCCCCCTCCTCTTCTCCTGTCTCTATTGCACCTCCTTCCAAGAGGGACGTCAGGGACGAACAGGATTCGATGACAAGGGATTGCAGGGAGGAGAGACGGCAGAGGGAGGAAGGGAGGGCGGTCAGCAAGGGGCAGTGGCTGATGTGCAAGTGAGTGAGGGAGGGAGCGAGGAGGGAAAGGGAGTGGGGGATGGAGGCGACACGCGAGAGGTGTGAGAAAGTGAGTGTGGCGAGGGAGGGGAGGGAAAAGAGTGAGTGAGGGAGGTGTGTGATGTGCGTGTTGTGCTTCAAGTCTATGTGAAGCGACACCAATCCTATCATCCCACCGGACCCTTCAAGTGTGCCCGATCCTGCAGCAGCAGCAGCAGCGCCAGCTACCACATCTGTACGCGTTAGAGCCACACCCGTTACATCAGCATTGGGAGTGGTGTGAAACGGGAGGAGGGTGAGATCAGAGAGGCCGCGCAGCTTCAAGTGGAGGAGAGAGAAGGCGCTGGAGAGGAAGGGAGGGAGGCAGGAGATGCGAGGAGAGTCGGAGAGAGTGAGAGAGTGGAGAGAGGGGAGAGGAGGGGGGAATGGAAGAGCAGCGTCAGACTGAATAGTGTCATAATAAACAGTATCATTATGAACAGTGTCATCCCCGTCAAAGAGTGACTCCATTTGGCCGTTACCGTCCACGACCAGCTCCTGCAGCGACGGCAGGTGCATCCAGGTGCGAGGGAGGGCGGTGAGGCGCGCGCAGAGAGAGACGCGCAGGCTGGTGAGCGATGGCAGTAGGGGGAGGGGCGCCTGGGAGTTGGAGGTGGTGCTGCTGGTGTCAAGGATCCCTCCGCTGCCGCTGCTGCTGCTGCTGCTGCTGCTGCTGCTGCTGCTGCTGCTGCTGCTGCTGCTGCTGCTGCTGCTGCTGCTGCTGCTGCTGCTGCTGCTGCTGCTGCTGCTGCTGCTGCTGCTGCTGCTGCTGCTGCTGCTGCTGCTGCTGCTGCTGCTGCTGCTGCTGCTGCTGCTGCTGCTGCTGCTGCTGCTGCTGCTGCTGCTGCTGCTGCTGCTGCTGCTGCTGCTGCTGCTGCTGCTGCTGCTGCTGCTGCTGCTGCTGCTGCTGCTGCTGCTGCTGCTGCTGCTGCTGCTGCTGCTGCTGCTGCTGCTGCTGCTGCTGCTGCTGCTGCTGCTGCTGCTGCTGCTGCTGCTGCTGCTGCTGCTGCTGCTGCTGCTGCTGCTGCTGCTGCTGCTGCTGCTGCTGCTGCTGCTGCTGCTGCTGCTGCTGCTGCTGCTGCTGCTGCTGCTGCTGCTGCTGCTGCTGCTGCTGCTGCTGGCGGTGGTGCTACCAGCAGCAGCAACACCACTACCACTACCACTGCTGCTGCTAGTTGTAGTGGTGTTGCTGCTGCCGCCATTCCCCGCACCTGCTCCCCCCCGCGCAGCACGAACGGACGGCAGCGCCGCAGGCGGGGACGGCAGGCGGGCGAGGGCGCCGCAGGCGGAGACGTTCAAGGAGCGCAGGGCGGAGAGGGCTGTGAGAGACGCGGGGAGACTCTGCAGCATGTCACACGAGGTGATGTCTAGATGGTGCAGCGAGTGAGAGAGGAGATGGAGGGAGGCAGGGAGGGAGGTGATGAGTGGGAGGAAGGAGAGAGTGAGGGAGCGGAGGTGGGGCAGATGGCAAAGCTCGCCCGGGAGAGAGGAGAGAGCGGGGCAGTTGGAAATGGTGATGTGAGTGAGGGAGGCGGAGAGAGCGGTGAGGGCTTCCGCGGGTATCTCCTGCATCTGCTTCCATCCCAGTAGCTCCAGCCGGGCCAGTCCCGCCCTGCTCTCCTCCGCATCCTCCTTACAAACTGGCTCGATAGAAGCTCTCCCGTTCTCCTCTTCCGAAACTGCCAGGGGATGACCGTTTTCTGCTTCCTCCGCTGCGCCGGGAGCAGGCAGGGGGGATGCGGAGAGGAGCGCGGGCAGGGGGGTGCGCAGGGAGGGGAGATAGGCGAGAGTGAGCGCGCGGAGACGGGGGAGGCGCGCGGGGAGGCAGGAGGGGACGGCGGAAAGCAAGGCGCATTCGCGGAGCTCGAGGGTTTCGAGAAGGGGGAGCGCGGCGGGGAGGGATGCGGGGAGCGCGCGGAGAGCGCGGCAGCGGTCGAGGGAGAGGTGGCGGAGAGCGGAGAGCGTGGGGAGGGGTAGTGCGGGAGAGGGGGTGTTCGAGAGGGAGAGAGAGGCGAGCGAAGTAACTAGCGAAGAATTATTCTCCTGAGGCAGTATGTCGCTATTCTGACGAGCGGCATTCTCCGATGCATCTGCTGCATTCGCATCTGAGATGATCGAAACATTTGGTGGGATAGAAGTCTCTACAGTCCCGTCGATATCCGTCGCGAAGCCGGCTGGAAGCTTCTCCAGGGCTTCTGAGTGGATTGATAGACTGACGAGAGCGGAGAGTTGACGGAATCCGTCAGGAAGGCGTTTCAGTCCCCGAGCGGTGATTTTTAACGCCGTCAAGCGAGTCAACCCGCAGATTGACGGAGGAAGAGCGGTCAGATTTGGCGGGCAGTGCAGCTCCAGGGAATCGAGCCGCGGGCAGGTAGAGAAAAGCGACGCCAGCCCGGCTTCAGTGAAGGCGGCGCGGTGGTCAGGACGAGATGACGTGGACGCGACGCGCCTGCCACGAATGGTAACCGGCTCGGCCATGCTGCCGAGATGGAAGCGAGTAAGCGATGGACACGTGGCAGCTAACTGAGAGAGGAGGTGATCGTTCGCCAATGAGAGGCTTCCATCTGACAGAGCGATTGACGTCAGCGACTGGAACGAAGCGACGCCCTTCAAGAATCGGCGGGTGCACAGCCGTCGCTGAGGCGACAGTGCGACGTGCGAGCGGGTCGCACATGCGACACGGTACCATCGGCGACAGACGAGCGCATAGCTACCGTCGGGATTCATATCAGATCCAGAGTTGAAGATCCCGGATATAACATCAAAAGTATCGCGCCGTTTGCGAACGGATGACTGGGAGCGATTAGATGCAGGCTGTGAAGGAAGGTCGCATTGCGACAGCTGCTGCGAACATGGCGCTGGCGACTCTCCATGAGCGACGGGCTCAACGTAGCTGAAAACGCGGCCAAGTATGTCGTCCGAAAGGCGGTCGACGGGAGAGGACCCCAGACACAAGAGGTCAGTCGCTGCCGACATTGGCGCAGCGCTTGTGGCATCAACTGCCTGGATCGAGAGATCAGCCATTGCTGATGTACATTTTCTTCGAGGCCCTTTTGTCTGGACGACGCTCCGTCGATGGTACGGATCTTTCGTACGGGCTGTCCGAGGCTCACGTCCAGAACAAGCCTCGTCCAAACGTCTGGAAGTGGAACAATTTTGAGTTTCGAAATTCAAAATTGTGAACACTCTGTAACACAATACCCGCCTGGTCGCAATTTTCGCCCACCACAAATGTGCGCCTCGACAACTAGAGTGCTTGCCACTCCTGGTTCACGGACAACTCCGAAGCGTGGTTGTCGGGGGAAGGTTGGGAGTTGTCACCAACGCTAGAGAAATCCATCGTTGCCTATGATGTTGTCGTCCGGATTGATGCCTGTTTTGTAGTGGATTCACATTGTTTCGTTCGATTGTTGTTGGAAATGCGGCTCGGGATGATATACCTCAGTGGACGAAAAACGCCGGCCAATTTCGCGGTTCAGAAGGGACAACGGCCCCCCTCGGGATTGACGACCTCGCGACGACCTCCGAGCTCCGAACTGGGCCCAAATGGCGTCCCAGGGGCCTCGGGAGCCCTCGGGAGCCCTCGGGAATGTCGACAATCCGACAACATAGGTTTGCGCTGGGGGATTCTTGAGAAGTAAATCTCAGCGGACAAAATAGGAAAGCTCGCCACGTCAAGCCGCGACGGCCGCCACGCGGACCAATAGGAGGGATCCAGACCGTCCCCGCCGTGTACTAGGCTGCCACGACGTGGCCGTCGTGGCCACACGTCTCTCCAGCGGTGATTTTCCCAAAGCGGGAAAACGTTCACACCTTTGAAAATGTCAGAGCGCGATCCACGCGACAAAAATCGGACCGTCCAGGATGTAACTGTTCTGTGGCATCGCGAGTTGTACGCGATGTCGGTGTCGACCAATTCATCAAAAGGCCCACAACCAATCCATGCAGCACAATCTCAACACTGTCAAGGTTCAATGAACCTAAAGAAACAATCAAGCGCGCCGATTGTAAGTCGGCGCCGATCGGCGCCCACGCTAGGACTGCCACGGTGGGCTTCAATAAATCCGGGACCCTGGGAGGTTCGGGTCGGCATGCTGTAATTTCGGTACTGAGAGGCCAATGTCGGCCCCAAGCCACGTAACACACGCCCATTCCACCGTGGAAAGGGCCTGGCTTACGCCCCTTCGGTGCAGCGCGAAGTAACATTAGCCATGCTTGGCACGTGGCACTTCGGGCAGAGCGCCGCCTATGCGAGAACACATGCACGGCGGCAGTAGCATAGGGGTGTGCGTGAAGCGCGGCAGCATCGGAGTCGCTCAGGACCATACCAGTCCGTGACCGTGCGGGCCTGCTCATTCCCATGTCCGTTCCTGCGTTCCTTCCTGCTCTCTCGTGCACTTCGAATTTTCAGCTGCCAGTCCGTCATCGCGCCTGTACGTTACTCGGTTGCCGACTTGGTCAGTAGTAGTCGACGTCGACGTCTGCTGTTTTAGCGAAACATCGGTGCAAGTCGGTGACGCATGGCCAGAGGTCGCTCTAGAGCTCATCAGCCGCAACCTATTCCACCCCCCGCCGACTCTGTAGACGCCGACATCAAAGCGGAGCTGGAATGGCTCGAGGTCGAAGCCGAGTTAGACTCACTCGACCGAGAATTCGAAGAAGACCGCCGCGCAACTCTCCGTGCGTTCACCACACCCGTGACTCAGTACCGTCTTTGGTTTACCAACCTCCGCATCGCACACGGACGACGGTAGAGCAACATACGTGCTGCCACATGGCCGACGTCGACATGACTGACGCTAGACCATCCACCGACCACAGTCCGACATCTACCGAGGAAGAGACGCTCCCCTTACTCTACGATCTTGACAAGCTGATGCAGATTCCAGAAGGGGAGTTCACTAGGGACATTCCCCCACCGCCGATCGGGGAGTTTAACAAGAATAAAAAACAGAATCCGACGCGAAATGGACGGCCAGGAACTTCGTCGGCACCGGCCAGCTCTGGAAACCAGGTTGAGGTCGACGAGGAGGAGGATGGGGGGAAGGAGGAGGAGGAGGAGGAAAGTGATGACGAAAACGACGAGCGTCCGCCGCGTAGCACTAATCAGCGCACCTTGGAAGAACGGCTCATGCGGGAACTTGAATACATAGATGATATGCTCGAACAAGACGAGAATGCCGACCAGGAGAATTTGTCGGTGCCGCGCGAACAGTGGAGGGCGGCAGACTTCGTCGAGGAAGACATGGTGTACGCGACCATCGACGTGCTCGTCTTGGACGCCCTACGCCACCTGCAAACCGTGGAGAGGAACAGCACGCTGAGGCAGTACACCTCGTGGATTTATCACTACAAGAGGTGGGCGGCGAAGATGTTGAGGCAAATTCGCAACAAGCTTCCGCAGGAGTACAGGCTTACGTACGTCGACGAGATAGGGCACTACATCCGGGACAACAAGAAGAAAAACTGGGACCAAGAGGCCGATGTCCCCCGGTCGTACGTGTGGCTGCACGGCCCTAGGGTCACCAAGTCCCGGCTTCGCACATACGTGAAGTACATGGTTCGGGAGTTGAATCTCGATGCCGAACCCAGCAAGAAGGGCGACAACACCACAGGAACACAGCCTGTGCTACAATGGTGCACACGCTCCTCAGGCGCATAAAGGCATGCCAGATGGCGGCGAGAGTGGAGGCGACGATATACCGGGAGACAGAGCTGAGAATCATGCGAGAGATATCGGTGGTCAGGTCGGAGGTGCGGTTCATGATCCGCACCAAGAACGAGCGGGACATCAAGTGAGTTTTTGTTTAACCTCTTGTTGTCTTGTACTGAGTCGACGCTGCCCTAATTGCCCCCCACCCTCGGCATTGTCGGCAGGAACTGCACCGATCGGCGTCGCGGAACAATCGGCGATACCTACACCGCCGAGCAGTTCCGCCAGATCATGTTCAGGGTGCTGCCGGCGTGGGCGGCCAAGGCGTGGAACCCGTAGGGTACGGGCCCGTCGCAGACGCTATGGCGGTTTCTGCTGTTGAAGGTGCTCACGCTACTCTCCCACCACTCTCTTCTGCGCGGTGCAAGCATCCGCGAGATCACGCTCCCCGACATATTCTTGTACCGACTGGCGAGCACCTCGTCGGTGAACCCGGAGAACCAGCCGGTCGTCATGGTCATCGCTGCGCGGAACTCGAAGACGTCCAAGGATGCGCGTCTGCAGCAGAGCTACGCTGCGCGGCACCTCGAAGCGGAGTTCTGCGCCGTCGGCGAGACGGGCCTGTGGTTGCACTTCATCCTCGACCAGATCGGCCAGTTTCACGGCGTCCGCCTCATTCTGCCAGTGGACACCAGCACACGCGCGAGCTGGTACAAGAAGCACCTCTTCTTCGCCAAAAACGACACCGACCAAGGGGAGCTTTTTGCGGCAAGCCACCAACGCTGGACGCGGCAGTTGTGGGACAAAAACGGGGTCTTCTGCAAGAGGAACGTGCACGCCGCTCGAGCCGGAGGGGCCAAGGAGCTGGCCATCGACGGCACGCCACGCGCCGAGATCGCGGAGCTGGGTCACTGGGCGCTCGACAAGATGACGCGAGCGTACATCACCGCCATTCCGGTGGGGGTGGTGATGAAGAAGGCCGATTACTCTATTTACAAACAGGACTACTTCTTGGGTCGGAGCAGGGTGGAGCCCTCCGATAAGCTCTTGAAGCTCCTCGCCGAGCACATCTTCCCCGGCGTCGACGACATGCTGAAGACGGTATGTTAGTCGACGCCCTCGTATCCTTGTTTCCGAGTCGTGTTGCCGACAGTGTCTAAACTCCTAATACACGCGACGAATTGCAGGCGGAAGGGAAGGCTGCCGAGGGGTCCGACGCCGACAAAGCCGCGGTGCACTTCTGGCGCACCCTCCAGTGTCAGAATGTTATATAGCTTATACATTTGTGTAGGCTGTAGTGGGGTATCCCATAGGGGGTACAACCCAATTAGGGTTAGTACTTGTACTCACTTCTTTCAAAGTTCATCCATTTCCTGTTCATTAATTCTGACATGGTATAGAGCAGGTCCTTCCCAGGACCGATTTTTTTAGGGCCCACCACTACCTACCTACCTGCGCCCTAGGGCGCCTCGGTTTTCACGCCCCTAGAGGCCCCGAACGGCCCACGCGCTCGCCCCTAGCGGCCCCCCCTTTCGGCCCCGCGATCGTCCCTACCGGCCCCGCGCTTGCCTCTAGAGGCCCCGATCGGCCCCGCGCTCGCCCTTAGCGGCCCCTTACGGCCCCGCGCTCGTCCCCAACGGCCCCGATCGGCCCCGCGCTCGCCCTTAGCGGCCCCTTACGGCCCCGCGCCCTTCCCTAACGGCCCCGATCGGCCCCGCGCTCGCCCTTAGCGGCCCCTTACGGCCCCGCGCTCGTCCCTAACGGCCCCGATCGGCCCCGCGCTCGCCCTTAGCGGCCCCTTACGGCCCCGCGCCCATCCCTCACGGCCCCGATCGGCCCCGCGCTCGCCCTTAGCGGCCCCTTACGGCCCCGCGCCCTTCCCTAACGGCCCCGATCGGCCCCGCGCTCGCCCTTAGCGGCCCCTTACGGCCCCGCGCTCGTCCCTAACGGCCCCGATCGGCCCCGCGCTCGCCCTTAGCGGCCCCTTACGGCCCCGCGCCCATCCCTCACGGCCCCGATCGGCCCCGCGCTCGCCCTTAGAGGCCCCTTACGGCCCCGCGCTCGTCCCTCACGGCCCCGATCGGCCCCACGCTCGCCCTTACCGGCCCCTTACGGCCCCGCGCTCGCCCCTACGAGCCCTGATCGGCCCCGCGCTCGCCCCTAGAGGCCTCTAACGGCCCCGCCCAGAACAAGCCGCCCGACCCGAGCAGCCCAAACCGAGCCGCCCAGCCCGAACCGAGCCGCCCGAACCAAGCCGCCTAACCCTTACTTGAGCCGCTTGCTCGGCCGGTAGCTGTCTCCCTCGCTGACCCCTCTGGGGGTCCGGTCATTGCGACCTCCTCCACTGTCCTTCCCTGTCCTGCGGTCCCGTCGGGCACACTGTCAGGTCTCCACCTCCCCTCGTTCTCTACGAACTTGGTGGCAGGTTGTGCACTCCATGACGTGGGTGTTTACTAGTTCACCCCTGCCTACGAGCGTGTCACACACTGCACGTGTGCTCGTACAGGCCGCCACTTGGCTACCTTCACCCGGCAGCCGGGGTCGGACCTGTACACACTGACTACTGCCCCCCCTCAGGTCGCTGCGTCTGCATCTGCGTCCGCGTCAGGTCAGCTGTCCGCCCCCTGCTCGTGTCGCTCTCTGGCGCACGAGACTGTCCTCTGGCACCACCGACTAGGCCACCCGTCTGTGCAGCGTCTTCGTGCCATGCGCTCCCGGTACCTTGTCTCTGGTCTTCCCAGGGTCCTCCCTCCCCTCCCACCCTCGCCTGCTCCTCCCTGTCTTCCCTGTGTCGAGGGGCGGCAGCGCGCCGCTCCTCACTCCTCGTTTCCCCCGACGACTGCTCCCTTGCAGATGCTCCACATGGACGTGTGGGGCCCAGCCCGCGTCCGTGGTCAGGGTCAGGAGAGGTACTTCCTGATAGTTGTCGACGACTACTCGCGCTACACCACGGTCTTCCCCTTGCGCACCAAGGGTGAGGTCCCTGATGTCTTGATCCCTTGGATCCGCAGAGCCCGTCTCCAGCTCAGCGAGCGTTTCCGCTCGGACTTTCCTGTCCTGCGCTTGCACTCTGACAGAGGTGGTGAGTTCTCCTCCGACCTCTTGGCAACCTACTGTGCTGAGCACGGCATTGAGCAGTCATTCACGCTTCCGGCCTCTCCACAGCAGAATGGGGTTGCGGAGCGCCGCATTGGCCTGGTCATGGAGGTTGCCCGTACCTCCTTGATCCATGCGGCTGCCCCCCACTTTCTGTGGCCGTTTGCGGTCCGGTACGCTGCGCATCAGCTCAACCTCTGGCCCCGTGTCTCCTTGCCGGAGACCTCGCCCACACTGCTGTGGACGGGGGAGGTTGGCGATGCGTCGCGTTTCCGGGTCTGGGGATCTCGAGCTTTTGTCCGCGATACGTCTACGGACAAGCTCTCCTCCCGTGCTGTTCCTTGCGTCTTCCTCGGCTTTGTCCCGGTTGCGTCTGGTTGGCAGTTTTACCACGCCACCTCGCGCCGAGTCTTGCCCTCTCAGGACGTCACTTTTGACGAGTCCGTCCCCTACTACCGCCTCTCCCCCTACCGCACTGCCCCGCTCCCCCCCCCGCCTCTCTTCCTCGCGCCAGGTGCTGCTGTCGTAGACCCCCTCCCCCCTCAGGGTGCCGCTCCCTCAGGTGTGTCTCAGGTAGAACCGGTTGAGCCTGTTGAGGTAGCTGTCGACTCTCGTCTTGCTGCGGGTGCGGAGCCTGGGGGTGCTGAGCTTGGGGGTGCTGAGCCTAAGGGTGCTGAGCCTGGGGGTGCGGAGCCTGGGGGTGCTGAGCTTGGGGGTGCTGAGCCTGGGGGTGCTGAGCCTGGGGGTGCTGAGCCTGGGAGTGCTGAGCCTGGGGGTGCTGAGCCGCTGAGTCCGGAGTCTGGGGGTTCTGAGTCTGGAGGTCATGAGCCTGAGGGTCCTACACCTGGAGGAGCCCTCTCCTCGGAGCAGCTGCGTGCGTGGTACTTACAGTACTGCAGCCTCAGGAGCGGTACCTCTCGAGCCAGGCGTACTACTGGGACTAGTGCTAGTGCTTCTTCTCCTAGCCGGGAGCTCCCCTCCCGTGAGCGGATCCGTGAGTGGTACGAGCGGCGCATCACTCTTCGGAGTGGCGCGCCTGCTGTCGCGGACCCCGCTGCTGCTGCTGGTACTGCGGACCCGGGCGTTGGAGCTGCTGCTGGTGCTGCGGACCCGGGCACTGGTGCTGCTGCTGGTGCTAAGGACCCGCGCGTTGGAGCTGCTGCTGGTGCTGAGGACCAGGGCGTTGGAGCTGCTGCTGGTGCTGAGGACCCGGGCGTTGGAGCTGCTGCTGGTGCTGTGGACTCGGGCGTTGGAGCTGCTGCTGGTGCTGCGGACCCGAGTGCTGGTGCTGTGGAGTCGGGCGTTGGAGCTGCTGCTGGTACTGGTGCTGCCGCTGGGGGTGCTGGTGCTGTCCCTGCTGTGTCTGGAGTCGCCGCGCGGCCTCGGCCGTACTTCGTACCGCTCCTTCAGCAGGTTCTTGGTCTCTTGCCTCCTCCTAGTCCTCCACCCTTAGCGTATCCACAGCCTGTCCCGTCACAGTTACAGTTGCAGCCGGCCTCCCCGCTACCTGCTCCTTCTCCCTACGCTGGTCCTACTGGAGGTCTTACTGAGCGTCGTGAGCCTGCGTCTCGCCCTGCGTCGCCTGTCCGTCCTGCTAGCGCTAGTGGTCGTGGTTCACGTCAACGTCCTCCTCCTGTCCCTGGCATGCACAGGATGTCTCTGCGTCCGTCCACTGCTCCTCTGCGTGCCCCTTTGCCTTCTCCTCCTGAGTCCTCTCTTCCTGCTTTTGCCGACCCGGAGTCGGACTCTCTTCGTGCTGCCAGTCCTACCGTCACGCGTCTCCTGGCTACTGTCGTCACTGACCCTTCTTTCGAGTCCACTGCTGCGTCTGCCCTAGTTGCTGAGCTCGTCGACTTTGCTGCTCGCTGTCGTCTAAACTACGCTGCTAGTCTTGTCGCTGAGTCTGAGTCTGTCTGTCCTCCGTCCGTCGGGGGTGAGTGTGCCCTTGGCACGGACGTCCTTGAGGACAGGCACGAGGAGTTCCAGTGCTTGGCCGCTGCTTCACCTCATCTCTTGTCCGTACTGCTTACCCCTGAGGGAGACCCGGATGCACTTGACATCCCGACTCCGCGCTCTTACGCGGAGGCGATAGAGGGTCCCTACTCTTCTCAGTGGCAGGCAGCTATGGATGCAGAGATGGCTTCCTGGAAGTCCACAGGCACCTACGTTGACGCTGTCCCCCCTCCTGGGGCGAACATCGTCAGTGGCATGTGGATCTTCAGGGTGAAGCGGCCGCCGGGTTCTTCGCCTGTCTTCAAGGCGCGTTACGTGGCTCGAGGCTTCAGTCAGCGGCAGGGAGTTGACTACTTTCAGACCTTCTCCCCCACCCCGAAGATGACCACTCTTCGGGTACTGCTTCACGTTGCTGCTCACCGTGACTACGAGCTGCACTCTCTCGACTTCAACACAGCTTTCTTGCAGGGCAGCCTGCACGAGGAGATCTGGCTGCGCCGCCCACCTTGCTTCACTGGGTCTTTCCCTCCTGGTACCCAGTGGAGTCTCCGGCGTCCAGTCTACGGTCTTCGCTAGGTGCCACGTGAGTGGCACGACACACTGAGGACTACGCTTGCGGCTCTTGGGTTTGCTCCTTCTACTGCCGACCCGTCGCTGTTTCTGCGCACCGACACCTCTCTGCCGCCGTTCTACATCCTCGTGTACGTCGACGACTTGGTCTTTGCCACAGCTGACACTGCTGGACTCGCCTACGTGAAGTCCGAGCTGCAGAAGAGACACACGTGCACTGACCTGGGTGAACTGCGCAGCTACCTTGGCTTGCAGATCACCCGGGACAGAGCACGCCGCACCATTACCCTGACTCAGTCACACATGGTGCAGCAGGTCCTTCAGCGCTTCGGCTTCACGTACTCCTCGCCTCAGGCCACTCCTCTGCCTACTCGCCACTCACTCTCAGCTCTGCCTTCGGATGAGTCCGTAGAGTCGAGTGGCCCGTATCCAGAGCTTGTTGGCTGCCTCATGTACCTGATGACCTGCACATGACCTGACCTTGCATACCC